TGCTGAACCATGAGAACTGCAAGCACACCAAGCAGAAGGAATTTCGCTGCGCCCTCTGCTCCTACTGCACCTTCAGCAACACCAGCCTCTTCTTCCACAAGCGTAAGATTCATGGCTACGTCCCCGGTGACAAGGACTGGCTAGAAAACTATGCCAGCAAGGAGCTGGAGATCAGCTCATCCGAGGCGCTCTTCAGCTACGAGCTCGGCACAGCCCTGCGTGTGGATGCCAGCTCCCCCCTTGCCGGCAAGGAGCAGTGGGCAAAGGCGAAGCCGTCCCAGCTGGAGTCCCAGGGGGAAGAGGGCTACCAGCAAGCATTTGTGGTGGCCCTCCTTGGGCAGGGTGCCCCTCCGCTGGAGAGCGGTGGCGAGGCGGAGGGAGGTGTGGGCAAGGGGGAGCAGAGCCGTCCCACTGCCGGCGATACCCTTGGAGATGACTGCGTGCAAGGAGATGCTGCCGCAGGCTCGACTGAGCTCGCTGCTTCTGGGGACGTGGTGGAGAGCTGCACATTGCACTTGGAGGCGCTGAATGTCTCGTCTGGCCCCCTCCTGGAGCATTTGACTGGAGAAGCCTGCATGGCACAGCCGAAGAGCATGGAAATGCTGTCCTGCAAGGAGCCTCCCACAGCCTACGAGATGCTGGGCTCCCAGGATGACCTTGGCTTGGAGGACAATGACAATACGCTCGAAGATATCCCGGACTTTGAGGAAGAAGAGGCAGATGTACAGGAGGATGAGGCAGCGAGGCTGGAGGACAGGGTAGCAGCAGGAGACAGCCAGGGAAAAGACTCCCTACAGCAAGCCACGGGCCACCTCGAGGGGTCATGCTCAGACCACCACAAGCTGGTGGCAGACACCGAGATGAGAGAGACCAGCCAAGCCGAGCTGCCGGAGGCCTGGCTCAGTGTGCTGAAGACAGCTGAGCAGAGCCACCCGCCTGTCCCAGAGGACGTGGCCACCTCTGATGATGACGCCAGAGGCGGCTCGGAGTCAGTGCTGAAGGCACTGCGGAAGCAGGACAAGGAGCAAGCGGAGACGCTGGTGCTGGAGGGCAGGGTGCAGATGCTGGTGGTGCAGTCAGAGAGCCAGATCTTTAAGTGTGAGAAGTGCTCGTACATCACGCGGAAGGAGAAGTCCATGTCCCTGCACTCCAAGGCCAGCTGCCAGAGCCGCCGGGCCCCGCTCGTGTGCCGTGAGTGCGGTGCCAGCTTTAAGCAGCAAAGGGGGCTTAACACCCATCTCCTCAAGAAGTGCCCGGTCCTCCTGAAGAAGAACAGGATCCTCAGACCAGCTGGTCAGGAGCCACCTGGGTTGTGCCAACCTGCTGACCCTCCTGGTGATAACGGTACAGAAACGGCAGAGAGCGAGAGGGGAGGCTTGGAGGAGTCTGGGCATGCTGAGAGCCCCTGGGAAGCTGAACTGCTGCCTGATAAAACGCAGGCAGCAGGCAGTCCTTTGGCTGGGGAACGGGCCTCGGGCTGTCCTGCCCTTGAGAAATCCCTGCTGGGTGACAGCACAGAGTTGGCAGAAGAGCCTCCCCAGCAAGCAGCTGGAGCTGCTTGTCCCCCCCAGCTTGGGAAACCCTTGGAGAAATACCGGCTGGAGGGAGGGAAGCTGCACTGCAATGCCTGCTCCTTCGTGTGCTCCCGTGTCTCCACCATCACCTCCCACGTGGAGGACGGGTGCCGGAGCCTGGAGCAGTTCTGGTGCTCCCTGTGCCCTGAGGCCTTCCGCTCCCGGCGGGCCCTCAAGAGTCACTGTGCCGAGAAGCACATCGTGCATCCTGAGGAGGATGGACCCCAAAGCACCGAGCTCCCTGAAGGGGACCCAGCCAGTGTTGAGACGGGCCAGCCCAGTGAGCCCCCCCTGAATGCAGCCCCCCCAAAATCCACCCTGCCCAAGAGAAGGCGTTTCTCCTGCCCCACCTGCCCCTTCACCTGCCACCAGGAACGGGCCATGAAGACGCACAAGAAGAGGGGCTGCGTGGCTCTGGGCGAGTTTCGCTGCACCTCCTGCCCCTTCACCTCCAAGGTGGCCAAAGCCCTGCGGCTGCACCGTAAGCTGCACCGCAAGCACTACAGCAAGCGGCCACAGCTGCAGTGCCGCCAGTGCGATTTCACCTGCAAGCAAGCCCGCTGCCTGCGGCAGCACATCCGCATCAAGCACGAAGGGGTGAAACCGCACAAGTGCCGCTACTGCGAGTTCAGCACCACGCGGCGCTACCGCCTGGAGGCCCACCAGTCCCTGCACACCGGCGTGGGGCGCATCGCCTGCGGCATCTGCAGCCAGACCTTCGGCACCAACTCCAAGCTGCGCATCCACCGCCTGCGGGTGCACGAGAAGACGCCCACCCACTTCTGCCCGCTCTGTGACTACAGCAGCTACCTGCAGAACGACATCACCCGCCACGTCAACAGCTGCCACCGCGGCGAGCTCAACTTCGGCTGCTCCCGCTGTGAGGCTCGCTTCAGCTCCGAGACGGCCCTCAAGCAGCATGTCCTGCGGCGGCACGAGGAGAAGGTGTCCTACGGCTGCCCGCGCTGCGGCTTCGTGTGCCACAGCGAGGCCACGCTCAAGTGCCACGTGCAGAAGCAGCACCCGCACCTGGAGTGCAGCACCTGCAAGGAGACCTTCCCCACCCGGGAGGCGCTGGAGGAGCACAAGACGCAGCATTTCAGCCACCGCTGTGAGCTGTGCAGCTTTGCAGCCAAGGAGCGGCAGCAGCTGGTGCGGCATTACGTGGAAAGCCACGAGCCGGCCGCCCCCCAGGACAAACCCCTGCGGTGCCCCTTCTGCGACTTCGCCTGCTGCCACCAGCTCGTCTTCGACCAGCATATGAAGGGCCATGGGGGCACCCGCGTGTACAAGTGCTCGGACTGCGAGTACACCACCAAGAACAGGCAGAAGATCACATGGCACATCCGCATCCACACTGGCGAGAAGCCCTACAAGTGCCACCTCTGTAAATACGCCTGCGCCGACCCCTCGCGTCTCAAGGTGAGCGCCCTGCTTGGGGATGGGGGATATATCCTACTGCATCTGCGTGGGTTGGGGGGGATCTGGACATGGGGATTTGGGGAAGAAGGAGAAACTCCTGAGAGGAAGTTTTGTCCTCTCTCTCCCCTTGTCCGTGGCTCCTACAGGAATAGGAGGCGAGTAGGTAAAACTCACATGGGTACAATATGTTTCTGTCCTAAACCCTGCTCCCTGCTGTTGCAGATTAGGGGGAAGAGGGATTTGCAGCAAAACAAGAAGGTGGGCAGCTGTCCAGGTTCACTCCTCTTCCCGCTAACATCTCTAGCGTCCTCTGGGTGCAGCCGGCCGTGCCCCGTCACAGCGCAGCCTTGCACCGCTCAAAGCCAAGTTTGGCTGCCTGCTGGCTAGCAGCGTGCCCTGTGGCACCAGTTAGACATGGTGCGGGGAAAGCTCAGCTTCCCTGCAAGCAGAGCCAGAGCCTGCCCTTATTTCTGTAGGTGATTAGCATCCTCATGCATGGTAAAAGGGCCTTTCCTAGAACATGAGGGCCAGGCGTAAGGTAATGGAGGGGAAAATGGTCTGGTTTTGCTAAAAGAAATATTGACTTTTTTAATGGCCAGGCTGAGCTGGAGCCCTCTGAGGCTGCCTGGGCGAGGCTGCGCAACGTGCTCAGCTCAGGGCTAGCTCTGTTGGGCTGGGTTTTAACCTGGACTTTGCCCTAAATGCCAAACTGGGGAGAAAAGCCTGTGCCCCTCCACAGGCTGGGACAGACCAAGCTCAGCAGTATGGAGGTCTCATCCTGACCCTGCCGTGGATCCCACCTACCTGTAGTCTGCCAGGCAAGCAGACAGCCCTCCTTGCCCCACACAGTTTGAGGTGTCAGAGCTGTACACCTGTACCTGTGTACCTCGCTGGCACCCCAGAGCCCTGCGCGTTCCCAGGGTACGTGGCATGGCCTCATCCTGACCCTGCCCTCTTGCCCTGTGCCCAGTACCACATGCGGATCCACAAGGAGGAGCGGAAATACCTCTGCCCTGACTGTGGCTACAAGTGCAAGTGGGTGAACCAGCTCAAGTACCACATGACGAAGCACACGGGTGAGTGCTGCCCACCAGGGACAGGCTGTGGGGCACCGGGGAGGGCTTTGGGGCTGCGCAGACCCCAGCTCTGTGCTTCCTGTGCTACCAGGGGCCCAGCTGGAGGCAGGGGAGGACCCCCAGCAGTTGGGGGGCAGCACGTTCGCGTGTGCTGGGGGGTTGGGGTCAGCACCCCAGGGTGGGAGGGAAGGTGGGGTGGTGCGGACTCCAGGGGCCAAGGCATGGTGCCTTGGAAATTTGGGGTTTTGAGGTGCCTGCTGGCAGGCTGCGCCTTCCTAGCGCTGAGGATGGTGTGTTGGGAGTTCCCTGGGGACTGATGCCATTATGGGGATGGCGAGACCTGCAGGAGGGAGGGCACCGTACCCCCATTCCAGCCACTTCCCTATCGCTGCAGGCCTGAAGCCGTACCGCTGCGATGAGTGCGAGTACCGCACCAACCGGGCAGATGCCCTGCGGGTGCACAAGGAGACGCGGCACCGGGAGGCCCGCTCCTTCATCTGCGAGCAGTGCGGCAAGGCCTTCAAGACCCGCTTCCTCCTCAAGACCCACCTCAAGAAGCACAGTGAGGAGAAGCCCTACGTCTGCAACGCCTGCGGGCGAGCTTTCCGCTGGGCGGCCGGCCTGCGCCACCATTACCTGACCCACACCAACGAGCACCCCTTCTTCTGCCGCTACTGCCCCTACAAGGCCAAGCAGAAGTTCCAGGTCATCAAACACATCCAGCGGCATCACCCCGAGCGTGGGGCTGGGGACCCCGGCCAGGGGGTGGGCAAGGACCCCAGCACGCCCACCGTCCACCTCCACGCTGTGCAGAGGGAGAGGCGGGCCGAGGGGCCCCCCGGGACCGAGCAGGAAGGAGGGTGCCCCGTGGAGAAGGATGGCGCTTCGCAGTGAGGCCGAATCCTGACTGCTTTAAGGCCCTGGTGGCGCAGGCCTGCTGCAGAGATGTATGTGTGTGTATAGGCATATATGTATATGGGATGTAAAATATGTGGCTGTATAAAAGGAATCTCTCAACTCTTTTTAATCCTTTATCTCTGGGCCGTTTGGAGCTCTGTGTGAGCCGTGGGGCAGGTGCCTGCAGGGAGAGAGCGCAAGCAGAAGGCCAGCTCCCCGTCTCTGTCCCCAACACCACTGCACCCAGACCTGAGCCTGCCTGTCACCGAACAATTTATTAAGTTCTTTACAGAGAAAGGGCAGGGCAAGGGTTAGTAATGGGCGCCGGCCAGGAGCAGCCCTGGGGGCTGTAGGAGCCGGGGGCTGTGATGGGGCTCTGCAGGGTTGGGGTCAGTGGGGACCGACTCCTCTTCCCGCTCTGCCCAGCCCTGGGCTTTGCTCGGCTCCAGCCTTGCTCCCCTGGCCGGGGGCACCAGCCCCGGCGGCAGAGCCGAGGCGCTGTGCACCATCTCTCCTCCTCGTGGCCAAGCTGTGCCCATAGGCCAGGGTGGGCTGCACGTGGGGGGCGCAGGGGGCTGTGCCAGTGCAGACCCCGCACTCATTCATGGGAGGCAGCGTCCCAAACCTGGGAAGGGGAGGTCAGTGCCTTTTCCCAGCCCCTGGAGGCCACTGCAAACGGGGGCACAGCAGCAACGACGACACAGGGATGACACAAACAGCTCAACAAGAGGGCGATGTGGTTGGCTCTGTGGCCCCAGCTGCTCGGGGCCAGCTGTATGGCTTCCATCCAGGTCCTGCTTGCCCCACGGGCTCAGTCCTCCTCGGAGCCAGGTGGCTCAGTGATGCGGATGTGGACGAAGAGCGAAGAGGGGGGGATGCTGGTGCCATCCTTGGAGAGAAGATGGATGTGGCGGTAGCCTGCAGGGGGGACAGCGAGGCTCTGGCTGACAGCTGCCCCCCACCCTGCTCCAGCACCCAGCTGAGCCCAGACACCCCTGCGGGGCTGCCCCAGCCCGCCACCACCGCCAGGCAGCAGCCGCTCACCGGGTTTGATGTTGGCAAAGGCTAAGGTGAACTGGCCCACGAAGTCATTTCTGGAGGTCTTGTCGTAATCCTCCACCACGAAGCGGACGAGGGCCAGCTCGGGCACGTGGAGCTGGAACTGGAGCGTCTCATCCCAGCGGGGGTTAAACCCTGGGAAGGGAGAGCGGATGCTGGGAGGGCGAGGGAGGGCAGGGATGGCCGCCTGGGCGTAGCGGGGTCCCTGGTACCACCGTGGGGCTCACCGTTGTTCTCGATGTACTTGGTCTCCTGGTGCGCCTGGTCCGCGGGGACCCCGTGGATCTCCACACGCACCAGCGGGTCGATGATGGCTCCGTCCTTGCTGTTGGCCACTTTGGGCAGCTGCTGCCCACTGATCACCTGCGGGAAGGGGCAGTGACCCCATGAGCCGGGGAGCAGCCGAACTGATCTGCTGGGAGGCTGCTCGGCTCTGGCACGCTGCCTGCCCGTGTCCCCACCCAGCTGGGACCAACAGAGCCCCAGGACACTGTCATGGCTCCCCAGGATCTCTCCTCAGCCCCGTACCTGAATTGTCAGGGTGATGGGGCCAGGGCCCTTCCAGCTGCTGGGGTCGCTGGGGTTGAAGAGAGTCTCCTCGTCCCTCATGAAGGGCGGTTTGAGCACGTAGCCGCAGCGGCCGTTCTGGCTGAAGAGCCCATCGCACAGGTCCATCTCCATGCCGGCCGTCTGGAAGTTCAGGGCCACTGGGGGAAGGCGGTAGGAAAAGGGCTCAGGGCAGCTTGGAGACCGTGCCCTGCTTGGAAGTGAGAACCAGCCTGTCCCCATGGCCAGAGAGATGCAGGGCCACACAGGGGGCCAAGGCACTGATACCCGGGTACCCCCGGGCTCCCCAGTGCAGGGCAAGAGCCTGCAGCCAGACCTGGTATCAGCCAAGGTTGTAGCTGGCACCAACACGGGTGCTGATGGTGCCATTTGGCACGGGACCCGAGGCATCTCCCCAGCCCGCAGCCCTGACACCCTGCAGCCGTACCCATCTGGCACCCCACGTTCCACATCTCCTGGGGGCTGTAGTTGGAGGAGTCGGTCCGCATCCCACTGGGGTAGATGCGTGTCAGCTGCCAGGCATTGTGGCGGACAAACTCATTCCCTAGGGATGGAGCATCAGGGCCACTCATGGGGTCATTCCCTGGCCTGCACAGCCACCCACACCCATCCACCTACCCATCCATCCTTTCATCCACTCATTCACCCACCCATCCATCCACTAATCCACCAAGTTATCCACTCATCTACCCATCCAAACATCCATCCATCCATCCACCCACCCACCCACCAACTCACCCACTCATCTACCCATCCATCCGCCCCCCCCCCCCCCCCCCCCCCCCCCAACTCACCCCCCCATCTCCCCATCCCCCCGCCCGCCCACCCACCCACCCACCAGTTCTCATCCCTCTCCCCTCCCAGGAACCCAGGTGTCCTGCCGCACTTTCTAAGCCAATAACCCTCCCTCACCCACCAGAGCCAAAACCCAGGCAGGGAGGGAACCCCTATGTCTGGAGGCTCTAGCCCTACACCTGAGGTAGCCACCTGCCCACTCCACCCTGGCCCACTCCCTGCATGCCGCTGCCCCCTCCACCTCACCTGCATCCCGGATGAGCTTCCTGGCCTTGGCCTCGGCAAAGGAGGAGATCTCGGAGGGCCGGGAATGGCTGCGGGCCTCCTGGAAACCCCTGAAGGACACGCTCTTGCAGTAGACAACGCAGTCGGACAATGCCTGCGCCAGGCTCTCCTTGTCTTTCTGGGAGGCACAGCCATGTTAGGTGCGCCCCGATGGGTGCACCGTCCCCCAGCACTCACCCAGGATGGGGGCTGTAGAGCCCAGGGCAGCCAAGAACAGCCAGGGTGTGCTGGGGGTGGCAGCACCCCTACCGCAGGCAGCCTTCCTGCCAGGAACGGAGCAGGCAGGGGACCCGCAGCATGGTGCCACCACAGGGATGGTGTGCAAAGAGCAGGCTGGCATGGCCAGGGCAAAAAGGGCTGTTCCCCCTCCCTGGTGATGTTCCTGCAGTCTCTGCCTCTCCCCTCATCACTGGGATGTCACCACAACCTGTAGCTGTGTCCAGGGGCTCAGTATTCCCAGCTGGTCCCCAACCCGGGCCACCCACCTTCACCTTCCGCCTCTCCTCCTCCGCCTCTGTCCCGTTGTCATCGTCAGACACATCGGGCGCCTCGCCCCCTGGCCCGCCCAGAGCGTCCACCAGCCCCCCGATCTTCTTCCCCTTC